TTAGTTAATCCTTGAGCTTAGAGCTATGAACATTCTTTAATGGCTAACTTTAAATGATCTGGGTTCATTCCTGAATGACTAGCTTTTAAAGGATTGGCATTCTCGTCTTTCTTAAAAGGAAGGATAATTAAGAAATCAAGATTTTACCAAAGTGGGTTTTTATATTTCTAAAGGAATTCTAAATGACTATTTGTACATGAACTTATTAGAGTTTTTGAACTTATTAGATCGACATGAACTCATGACAATGATCATCTTTTGAATAGTCATCTATGTTTGAGTCAGAGCTGTCATCATCATATTGCTTAATCATGAATAATGATTTTTCAATCTATTTATCATTAAAAAAGAAGACTAATTCAAGGTCATCATCTAAAAGATTAATACTAGAGATATTAACAATATTATGTATCATCTTCACAGACTTTCTGTTTAACTTTGGATAGTTCTTTGCAAAATGTCCTGGTTTGTCACAAAGAAAATATTTGTTTTTTTTTTTTTTTTCGGGTTTCTTTTTTTTCTGCCAAACTTGAATTTCTGAAATCTTTTGGGCTTTTTTTTTTTTTTTTTTTTTTTATAGTTTTGAAGAGTTTCTTGTGTCTAAAAAAGTGAAAATTTCTAGAAAGTTTGATTTTTCTAAAATGATTTTTTTTCTTGTGACTGCAAAGACATAAGGAATCTTCAGAAGAACATTTGATCTATAGTCTTGTTGAGGAGTAAAAACATGGTTTATTGAGTAAAAACATCGCTTATCTAGTTTTTTAGAGTTGTTTACCAAATCTGCAACATATTTGTGCATTTTACAAATCTTGTCAAGAGCTTTAATCATCATTTTGTAGATATCACTTAGATTCATAGTTCTCAAATCAAGGGATCCTAGATTAAACTAAGTCCTTATTTGTTAAGTAAGTTTTTTAAAACAAAATTGAGAAAAGCTTGCTTCAGGTTGATATCATCAAATCCACAAAGTATGTAAAAATACTAGAAAAATTATTGGTAATGTTAGTTAAGGTCTTTTGGATGAAGTGAACAACATTTTAGCTAAAAAATTTATTCTCTAAACATTTCCAATCTATGAGCATCTTGGCCACAAAATATTATCAATAACTGAGATATAGCTTTTGTCATTAAAATCGTATTCATTGTAATATTGGGATTGAAGTTTAATTTAACAAGTCTTCAAGCTAGGAACTCTTAGAATCTTAAAGGTTATTTAGAAAAAAAGAATATCATCAATTGTGAATATTGAGAACTTTGATGTCGAATGAGGAGCATGTGTCTATAGAGAAGAAAGAGGTTGTTGTTCAGCATCCATTGCTTTAAGGTTATACATTTCAGGGTTATTTTCTGAAACTTCAACTATTGGTTCTATTATGAAGATCTGTGAAAGTATTTCATCTGAATCATCTAAGTGGTATGACTCATCACTTTCCATTTGAGATTCTATTTCATATTTGGTACGAAAAATATCTTCAATAAAAAATTAAGGGAGGTTATTTTATGCCATATGTTGGAGTATTTTTGAGAAAATATTTAGATTGAGAGAAATCATGAGCTGTGTTGGGGGTTTTGAGTTCTAAGAGGTACTTTTAAGGGTAGGGTTTGAAGAAGTAGTAGAACTAGTGTTTGATATTGGTTTTGGGGATTATGAAAGTGGTTGTTCTGTATTTCTCCTAGGTTTCTAGTCAACTATCTATTTTTCTTTGAATTTTTGAATCCATTTTTTTAGTTGTGCCAAAGAACGTTATTCTAATTATACTGACATTGGTGTAAAGTATTATCTTGGTTGTGAAGGTACTGATACAAGGCGAGGTTTGTATTGAAATAGGGTGAAAAAAGGTTTAGGATGGGAAGATGGGTTGTAAGGTTGATAAAGAGAAAGAGCATAAGTTAAGTATCATGCATTCTAGTGTTGATGGGAGCAAAGATACTACAGGTTGGGAGTAATTGCTATTGTTTCTAACAGAGTTGATCTTGAAGATGTGCAAGTTAAAACTTGAGGCTTTTAATATCATTTTCTCTTTCTACAAAAGCATGGGTGTAACCAATATTGGCTTCTGCCATGTATCTAAGTTCTCGATCTAGGTTATAATCCTTGTTTAGATGTTAAGAATAATATTCTGGAGGTTGACGAGACTCTGATCAAAATATTTGCTCACTTTGATCTAGCTTGTTTTCTATCTTGTACAAATATGCATTATGTTGAATAGAGTTCTTTGATTGCTAGTTTCAGACTGCTTCTGCTTGAGAAACACCTTTTTGGTTTCTATATTGATCTTTATCAGTAGGGTTTGAGATTTTTGGAATGTGTTTGTATTGGTCTTTGTGAAATTCTTGGTAAGGAGGAAAATTTGAATCATAAGAAAACTGACTTGGTTGCATCATGCATATATGAGGTAAATGTTGGTTTGGTTTTGGGTTTTTAGGTGTATGAGGTTTTTAGGTTTTTTGTGGAAGGTTTGATTTCTTATTTTTGGGATAGATGACATAATAGTCAAACTTTCCTGAGGGTTCACCAATAAGATCAACTTTAGGGTCTATTTTTTCATATCTATTTTTTTTTTTAGTTTTTGTTGGGAAAACTTTCTTTTTGGTTTCTTTGAAGGTTCATCATCATCATTAAGAAAGCTTCTATAGTTATCTTTTTGACATCTTTTGCATTTGCAATTAATGTCCCAATAGCAATGTCATTCTGGAGATCTATATGTATATACAAGCTTTCAATTAGGTTTGAAGTGTGGAATTGGTACATTTGGCTCAGCTTGACATGGCTACATCATGAACTGTGTAGGAAAGATAGTTGGATTAGGAATCTCTTTTCCTTTACTATGATCACACTCAATTGTCACAGTACCATCTAGGTTTGTTTTGTAGAAAAGGTCAAAGTGTTGGATTGGTTCATCTTGTTTTCAAATCTTTTGGTAACTTGTTGTCCATGACTTATGGAGTAGGGTAACAAGATTTTCATTTGAAATCTGCTTTGGAATATGAACACATTTGAGATTTTTGTCCACATCTTCTAGCTTTACAAATATAGCATCACTAGAGTTGGGCAAAGGTAAGTTTATAGTGTGATCTTGAATGTTGTGCGCCATCTAATGTGAAGTGTTTCTTAGAATCCTTTCATCTCAGTTTCTACAATCTGCACTTGAACTTTTAGAGCATCTAGCAGTGTTAGATAATGTAGAGACATGTTATAGTTTGGAAAAACTATGAAGAAGACAATTCTGACATTGAGTATTGCTTTAACTATGACGAGTATTGCATGTTGATAATCTTTGAATCTTGTATCCAATAAGGCCATCCTGGTACAAGTCGGAATACCATTTCTGTCATGAAAGTTTTAAGCAATTTTGGTAGCACTAAAGTGAATGTAAGTATATCCTTGGTTCAACTATTGTTGTGAAAATTCTAAAAAAATCTAAAGAGTAATGAGGTGCTCTTGAGAACTAGCTAGGAGAAAGCATTGATTAAACTTTGAGGCTTGAACATACTTTTTTGGATCTTGATATTTTAGTATTAAAAGGGTTTTTATGGATCTAAAAAGGGAACAAGAAGTTTTTGAAAAAGCAATATGAGGATTTGCAAGTGGAAGATCTGTTTCTTGGACTTTTTTTTTTAAGATAATTTTATAAAGGAAATCTAACTTAAAAGAGGAAAATATTCTAATTAGAAGAGAAGGAGGAGAAGGTAAACTAAACAAAGATCTAGAGGTAGAAGATTGTGAACTATTAACTTTTGATAAATCTATGAGAAAGAAGACTGTCAATGAATTAAATGGGACATTAAAGGTAAATTACAACAAATGTGAAAGGAGAAATTAAATGGTACATTATAATATTTTAATTCATTTTGATTTTATATTTGGTGCATTGTCAATATATAAATTTTATACACTATCAATGAATTAGATGATGATACCTTATTAATAAGATGAATAAGATGATATTATATCATTAATAAATAAATTTTAAAAAATAATTTTATATATATTTATTTTATGGGTTGATATTTATTTATTAATAAAATAATATCATTTGATTCATTGATATTATATAAAATTTATATATAGACAATTTATAAAATATATGCTTTTTTTTTTTAATTAAGGTTTGAGTTTGCAACATTGGAATTATTCACTTTTCTTAGTCAAACTATGTCGAATCTATTAATATTTTGATAGGTCGACTTCTCTTAATTATAATCTTTCTTTCAAATAAATAAATCCAAAACTTTCACATATTTAATGAGAAATACCAATAGAAATATATACTTGTGTTATATATATACCAATAGAAATATATACCCGTGTTATATAAATATATATATATATATAATCTATATATATATATAATCTATATATATATATATATATATATGGCATTATTGCTTCCAGGCCATATGGTTTTGATAAAATGATTCAGTTGATTCATCCACTCTGGATTTTGAACTCTTTGTAGTTTTGTTTCATTTATAATCCAAGCATATGCTTGGCCTCTCTTAATTTTCATGCTTTCAGGGCAGCAAAGCTACTGTATTCTATTAGATTCACCTTACAGTCTGGCTTTCCTCAGGTACCCAAGCTTTTGGTTTACCAAAATCTAGCTCCAATTCAAAATTTATGTAATGTTTAGACTCTAAATTAAACACTTAATTACTCTCTACAGCCTTATTTGGATAAGCCAAATAAATTTTATTAAGTAATCAAAAGATTACAAAGCTAGAACTAACAGCAACAACAACAACAACAACAAAATTCATCTAAACAAGATACACCGAATGCGTGAAACATCAATTGCCAAACGTGTCAAAAACAACTCCAAACGGAATACAAGCACTAGACAAACTCCTAACATTCCAAGATAAAATTCTCATAATAGAGATCATAATTTCTACAAACAGTCAAAAGGCCCAAATTTTGAACACACCAAAACACCGAAAATGAAAGTGTTTACACATCCTTCCAAGCTCATTAGTTTTTCAATAATATATCTTCACTACAGGTAGCAATTAGGCCCAGTTTCTTACCAAGACTCCTAGTTTCCATTGCCTCTGTAAGGATCAATTTCCTGCTGACTAAGTCTCCATCAGATAGGATTACTCTTTACAGCTAAAGAGAGATAAGTGCACATATGGTTTGAATTAGAGTAAGCACAAGGAGGACAACTGCAGCAATTGTAGCAACACCTCTCCATGGAGTTGAGAAATACTGGAGTCTCAGAATTGCTAGCCAACTGTGACGACGAACTGCATTGTAAGCGTTTAGTTCTCTAAAAATATCAGAGAAATGGTTCTTCTCCATTGGAGTAATATGTTTGCAAAAGTTGTTGAATAAAGTTACCACTCTCGTATTGCTGCCGAGCTGGTTGATGATAATTCTTCTTCGAATGAGTAAATCCACATCTTCAGTAGATTTGATGAGATATTCCATTAGAAAGATATAGTCGCACAAGTAAGTTTCATGTGAATGGTAGCGTTGCTCCCAGGCCATGAGATTGCGGAAAAATGATTCAGTTGACTCATCAACTCTCAAAGGTGGGATTTTCAATTCTCCATTTTTTTTGTTAAATTCTATGTCTAGTAAGCATCTGCTTGTGCTCACTTTAAATTTCACCCCTGCATCACGCAACAAAACTGCACTATATAAATACCGACCTTGCACTCTGCCCGCCTCTAGGCTGTCTTCTGTCTTTTTGGATGATGGCACAGATGAAGAAGACATTAGATTAAAGAAATGCGCAATTTTGGTTTTCATCCATTTGATTCCGAGTTTGCTACAGAGAGATTTTTCTTTACTGCAATCATCCTGAAATGTATATGGCATCTGAAGTGTTCTTAGCAAATCTGTGAAATGTTTAGCTCCCTCCAGCTTGGCTCTATATTCGTAATGGCAATGGTTTGGTAGCATTATATCTTCAATGGGTTTGTTTTGGTTGTAATAAGGGCTGAAGAAGTGACAAGTAAGATGAATAAAGGAAGGGAAGTCGGGGTTACCACCAAAGGCAAGTTCATACATGTCCTTGAGAATAAAGAAAGGAAGTTGATTATGAGCCAAAAACAAGTCTCGCCGGATATCATGCATTTTCCTTGGGGTGTTGAATATAAAATCAATTTCTCCTCTCTCTAATTCCTTGTTGTAGGCTCTCAAGAAAAGTTCAATGATGAAGCTTGCATCCACTAATACCATCTCAATAAACAATCCGGAACTGCCATCATTGACTGGTATGTTCTGTTGGATGACGTGTGAGAGAAAATCCCAACTTCGGCAATAGGTTTCTTCATAACAACCATGGATTCGGTCTGCAGAGTCTTTGATCAATTTGAAAAAATCGATCAAGCTAGCTTTCTTCTCAGCTCGCTGGAGAAATGAGGCCAAACATATCCGCTTTTGTATTTCGATGTGTTCTAAAATGGTCTCGTAACAACGAAGAGGACCAATAATGACAAAATTTGGTCTGTAGGCTGCTGCATTTACTTGGCGAAGTAAGGGGTCAACACAGCAGATAATACGATCCTGTAGCAAGGGTCGCTGAGAATAGTACTTTACGATATCAAACTTGGATTGAATCTGTATAGCTAAAGCATTGAATAGACTTTCCTCCGATGAAGAGTTATTTTGGTTTGTTGCAACATTCTCCATCTGTCAGGTTCTTTGATTTCCACCTTAGCATGACCAAAATCTCGGTGTTAGAAGAAAAATGTAAAATGCTAAATTTACTCACGTATAATCATGTAATACTGATTTATAAGTCAAATATCAAATATATAAAAATTTATTCACTATATGTTAAACAAATTAAAAGCTATGAATTTCTGGTTTGATTTATTCATCAATTGAGAATCTAACAATGAGCAAAGTTGTAAGGGGGCAATAAATTAGATTCAGAAATAGTAACAACAGAATTTAAGGAGTGGTACCTCCTGTTGTAGCTAGATATGATCAATCGATGAACGAAAACACTATAGGTTCTGGTAAGGAGGTCTTCTTCAATGAGAGAAGGGAGCCCTGGATTTCTCTTCCTTGCCCGGAATTAATCTGCAATCTGCACTACTATTTCACTTCTTTCACAAAGATATAAATATATTTCATATATGTATACTATTATACCGTTGACCTGCGTCAATGCATGTGGGCTATGGTTTTTTTATCAACGAAAGAACACATTCTGCCAAGTTTAGTTGTATTCAAGCCAATAAAATATACATTGTATTCTTATATAACAATCTATATTAATGTACCCATCGGATCTGTACGATGCATATTGGTCAAATTAAGGTCATTTTTTATATTAATTGTATTTCTTTCCAACGGCTAATCCTTTATTTTTCACAGGCTTGTTTATGTTATAATTTCTCTGCTCTTTAATATATATTTTTTAACAACTGGACTTATTTAATGATAAATAATATATCTTGCATATTTTATTGGCTGCAACGCAATTTTTCCAACATGCGTACATTGACGCAGAGGCGATTTCGTATTATAATACTATAATTAAATTATTAACATTATGCCAACTGGCGTTAGTGATTTTTATATATTATATAATCATAATTCAATTTATGATAATTTTAAATATTAAAATAATAATAATATGATTGATTAAAACTTGACTAATTAAAACTTAAAATTTAATTAGATTGATAATTTAAAACTTTTTTTTATTTTAAATTATAATTTTATTTGTATAAAATAATAATACCAACTATTACAGGTTGCGTGTTCATTTTATGCATTTAACGTAATGTAGTTTATTACTCTTCAGTACTGTTTTTGTTCATTACGACTTTTTGCTTTTGATGTTATCTTGATGTTTGGTAACATCAATTCAATTTCACCCATCTTAACCAAATTCCTAATCGAGAAAAAAAAATTCGAAAGAAAATTCCGAACATCAAAAACCAAAAATTTTCTCAGAAAAATATATGAAAAAGTGAGAAGATTCTAATATTATTCCAAAAGTCAAAAAGTAAGAGTAAGTCAAATTTGAAACAAAAAGGAAGTATCTCCGTAGTATCCCAAAATCAAAAGCCAAACAAGTTTCCACCCAAATATATATAAAATAAAAAATCTATACTATATTAAATTAAAATTTAAAAAATCTGTATTGAGAAATTTGAAACTCATAATTTGCAAATATTATTTTTAAAACTTTTAAAGTTTTTAACAAATAATAATCAAATTCATCGATCTAATCATTTCAATTTTTCAATCAACGCATCCTCAATCCGAATCCTGATCATCTGATCAAGTTACATATACCCAATCTAATCATTTTTCATCTTCTCAATTTGCATACTGGCCATCTAATATGCAGCGACAATCCCAAAACGTTGATCAGTGTATTCTAGCCAACACATATATTGTTTGGTTGAAGTGATGAGACACTTTACCTTTATATATATATGTAAGGAATAAGGATCGATATCCGTGGTGTAACTCCATTTCTAACATTGAATTATATTTTAGATTCATTTTCATTTATTATTGTTATTTCATAGTATAATTGTTCTCATGCTAGCGCCCAAGATGTTTATTATTTTAGATTTATAAAAAGAAAAGAAAATATGTTTTTTGTAGCCTTTGCTTCCTTCAAAATTAATATCTTCTACAAATATCATCATAGTTTGGATTCTTAATGAATTAAGTGGGGGCAAATTAATCATTCGATCACCATAAGGAAATTTATGTTATACCCATTTCACAGCTCGTCGGTAGCAATGAGTCCATCACTAACAAATTTTCTCAAATAAAGGCTTAAAGCTTTTGTAGACAATATTAAAATATACAATTCATTTTCCTTAATTATCTAACCCAATCTCTTATTGATAATAAATTTATTTTATGCCATCTGTATACTCCTAATTTTTTAAATTTCTTTCCAATTAACTTGATGATCCAAATTTTAAAATTGACTAAATACTGATTTGAACATGTAGAATCAAATTTTAGCTTTGACTGAAGACTTAAATCAAGATCAAGCGTTTGCTAAGTTTGTCGATTTAAGAGCTAAGCATTTTATTTATTTATTTATTTTCAAATAGGACATGGTCCTTTCAATATTGTTTATTTGGGGACAAATCATTTCAATGGAGATAAGAGACACGCCAATAATTTGCCTAATAGTTGAAACATGGCAAATGTAAGGTTCAAGAGGGATTGGGTCAGATTATTTAATGTTTACGATCATTTTTAAGGTTGCTTTGATCCTTTAAAGTTCAGGTCATTTTTGGATCAACTTATTTCATATTCGATTTTGTACTAGAATAAATTTAATAGTTAAACATAGGATCGTTTAGAATGAAGTTTGATTTGTTATGTGTTTTGATCAAGTTGGTCTCAAAGTTTAGATCCTTTGGGATTTGGAGTATTTGAGATTCATCACATTTCATATTCAAATTCTTTTGAGCTTAGGTCATTTCAAGTTCAATTTATCTTAAATTACGATAATTTTAAGTTTGAGATCAGGTTTCTTGAGGCATGTTTTCGGGTTCGAGTTCAGTCTACGACATCGACATTATAATCACTACATGGTATAATTGTGACAAGCAGCTCAATCAGAATTTTCTAATACGAGTGATATGTTTTTTGCCCTTGGCGTAGTGGTTAAAGTGCATGTTGAGGACTTAAAAGGTTTGGTTTCGAACCATCCTTTCCTTTCCCCATAAAAAATGCATTAAGGGGATATCGGATCAAATTGAAGCAATACAGAGAAGATTAGCATGACACCTGCGCAACGATGACGCGCACAAATCAAGAAAAAGTCTAAAATTTTTTGAAGAACATCAAGTGGAAAATGAAGAGAATGGGAGAGAGAGCTAAAGAGAGAACGGATAACAGGTTCAACAGAGGGTGGCGTCAAGGAAACAGGTGGAGTAAAGAGCAGGTTGCCGCAGAGAATGATCATGCAAAAGGAATTTAATCACTGTTTTTGTGGATAATATCTACCCAACTGAGAAAGAAGAGGATTTGTGGAGGTTGATAATGCAGTATGGCAGGGTAGATTTTTATATCCCTTTAAATAGAAAAAAGGAAAGACGTAGCAAGTTCGGTTTTTTCTGTTTCAAAGACTTATGTGAGGCCCTATCAGTTATGAGGGCTTTGGATGGCACAATATGGAATGGTTGGAAGCTGCAAGTTAGTCTCTGAAAGTTAAAAAAAGGCAGGGCAACACAAAACAAAACACTCAAATCCTAGAAGAGGTTCAAAGGATTGATAAGCCACAACAGCTAACAGTATATGGGCATGGAAAACCTTCATATGCAGAAGTAACAAAGTGGAAGCCGATGGAGGCCGAAAATGATGGTTGTAGGAGAGCTGAAGAGAAGGTATGCACTAATTCAACTCTGGAGCAAGAAGTTGAAGGTGAAAAAACCCAAAGTTCTCAAATAGTTATAGAAGAAGAGGAACTGAAGATGGAATGGCTAGAAGCATACGTGGTAGTGGAAGTTAAAAATCCACAAGAAATAAACATGCTCCAAGTCAAGGTGTATTGCATTTTTCTATTACAGTCATGGGTAACAGCTTGATCCTGTTACAATTTGAGTCGAGAATGGAGATTGAATGGATGCTGGAATATGGGAAAACCTGGTTGAGTGAATGGTTCTTTTGGGTAAAACCATAGAGTCTGAAGTTGATAAGTAGGGATAAGTTTGCATGGTTAAAATTGGAAAACGTCCCTGCTCATGGATGGTGTTATGATCTCTTTAAGAAAATTAGGAATTTATGAAGAAATTTCATATCTATTGATGAGAGTACAATGAACAAAACAAAGCTAGATACTGCTAGGGTTCTATCTTTAATTAGGAAAGATTATCCTCTCCAAAGTGTAGTCCAAGTGATGATCAAGGGGGTTACTTATCTAGTAAGAGTTTCCATTAAGGAAGGTCCAGACTTCTTATGGAATTCAAGTGTAAAAAATTTGATAAAAGTCAATCTTTTGCAATCCTTATCAAGATCATGTTCGACTGAAGCTTCTCTTAGAGAGGAATAGACACAGAGTAAGCATTCAAATGAAAAGGGTTCAAGAAATCTCATAGAGACCAATAGAGAAGAGGAGCTGCCTTTATTAAACCAAGGAAATTCGAATAACAGTGTCTCTTTGGATTTGGTAAATACATGGAGATTTTTTTTTTTTAACATCTGTATGAAAGGATGAGTTAATTGTGTATGATCTGAGAGGAATTCACTCATGTAGTTCACCAATCCAAGGAATTGTTGTACTTGCTTCTTGGAAAGATTTTCATCAGGGAAATCTACAAGTGTCTAAGCAATATGAGGTTGAGTTATGTACTGTCCATCTTTCAAATGCATGCTTAAGAAATCAATTTCTGAGGCACCAATGATCATCTTTTTCTCTAAGAGCATTATCTTATACTATTGAATAATCTGCTAGAACTTATCCAATAGCTGTGTATGAGATGTGACATCTGAAGAGAACAGAAGATATCATCAATGTGAATCAATGCATCATTAAGAATGGGAGTAAGTATCTTCGTCATTACTTTTTGGAATAGTGAAAAAGTAACTTTTAATCTAAAAGGCATAACTGTCCCACTGAAAATAGTGTTGAGGGATGTAAAATGTCATTTTGTATCTGTCTTTTGGATGTATACCTAATTGTCAAAATCTTGCTTTCAGGTCAAACTTGGAGAA